TATATATATATAGTATCACCATTAAATTAGCAGGTATCAACCTCTTGACTGATGCCTGTGGAACAAAATTACATCATTCTGAAAATACAGTTGTGGACCACACAAAAGGCATAGAAGGGCCACAAATGGCCCGCGGGCCACACTTTGGACACCCGGTAGAGACTTAACGAGGAGATCGAGACTTCAGATGGAAAATGTTGAAGAATTGGCAGATTTTAACTTCCATTTGAGGAACATCTTCCTGTACTGAGCAGCAGAAAGAGCGAGTCACACTGAAAGTTGCCTCGCACGGGGCGCCAAATGATGTAGCAGGAGTGAGTGAGGAAAATAAGCATGATGATTCTCTCCACGCTGCTACACTTTTATTATTTGCACTCGTTAAAACTGGGAGCACCAAGTCAGTTTATTAACCAACAACAAGTTAACACGTTATTCAACCACCAAATTCCCCCTTGAATTATCCGACTCAACAGCTGAAGCTGAATTTGTAGGTACAGAGAATTCTTATAATACAAGTGTGCTGGACGTCTCCGTTGTATTATTTATTAAAATTCAAATTAACTCAGTTTAGCAATCCTGGATTCAAACACTCACTTTTAGTGATAATACTTCTTTATTTTCCAACACTCGATTAAAATTGAAAATAACAAATAAAGTAGCAGATAGATTTGTTGATTTGTATGTCTCTAAAGTAGGATCTGGCTGCAATGAGGTGTTGCAATGTTAGTTCCTCTAACTACCTGTTCCAGGATGGAAATAAATAAAATAAGCGATGCCACGCCTCCCCTGGCACACACTCTCCACCCACAGTTTGAGAACTACTGGACCCATATGGACCTTTGGAGTAGTTTCTGCAGTACCAGTTAATTATTGCCGTTCTTTTCATCTTTCCTGTGCAGGTCACGGACATGATGCAGAAAGCTCTCTTTGACTTCCTCAAGCACAGATTTGACGGCAGGTGAGACCAAATGTTCTGCTGGATTCATAGTTTCAAACGAACCATCTCGAACTTGTTCAGCAAGAACATGAAGAAGACCCAATCTGGACTGTGGTCATAAATATTGGATTAATAATACAGATGGCGTTTTCTTTATTTTGATCAGGATAACTATAACACGAGTCACCGCAGACATCTCGTTGGCCAAGAGGTCGGTTCTGAACAACCCCAGTAAGCGGGCCATCATCGAGCGCTCCAACACTCGCTCCAGTCTAGGTAAGAAAACAACTCTGAAGGAACACGACAAAGCTACTACCATACCAAGCTCAGCATCTGTAAGACTAACCGGGTTTTAACAACCGGCTTTGACTCGCTTGTTTCGTCTCTGCAGCTGAGGTCCAAAGTGAGATTGAAAGGATCTTTGAGTTGGCCCGCTCCCTGCAGCTGGTGGTGCTGGACGCCGACACCATCAACCATCCAGCCCAGCTCCTCAAGACCTCCCTGGCCCCCATCATCGTCCACGTCAAAGTGTCCTCACCGAAGGTTTGGAGGACGTCTCGGCCTAGAGTCGTACAAACGGAGGAATGAAGTGATCCAAATCTCTCTCTGTCGTTCAGGTTCTGCAGAGGTTAGTCAAGTCCAGAGGGAAGTCCCAGAGCAAACACCTGAACGTCCAGCTCGTGGCAGCAGAAAAACTGTCCCAGTGTCCCCCTGTGAGTGTCCATCCTTTACTTTGTCCATCTCTCCTGCACAAAAAACCAACAGTGCTATTTTATTTAAAAAGATAACCAGGAAATGTCTGAATGTGCATCCTGGAGCTTTTTTTTTTGGGACAGGTTACTAGATTTACTACAGATTATTTGATGTGTAAACTTGAACTAAAAACACTATAAACATTTTTATTGTCCCCCGTCGCAGAACAAAGAGAGGAAATTGGAAATACCCCCCGTCCGTGCATGTTGTGAACATGATCACTTGAAAAATAAGTGAGGTGGCTTCCATTTTGGTGTGTGGCTGCATCTCGGTGTAAGAAGGACCATTAACAAAAACAGGGTCGCCACATCATAATCCAAGATGGCCACCACTATTTACATATGGAAACCAGTCAGTCCAATCATTGGAGGAAACTGCTTTCAAGTTTTTATTTTTCTTAACAGTATACTTTCCTCAAATGATTGGGGTGGTCAAAGATTAATCTGTGGGGGCCAAGGCCACCATCGGACCACCCCTGGTGGTGGACAAAATGTCTCCCTCCACTCTCTAGTGTCATCTCTCTGCGCCTCGGACAAAACAACTCTGTTCTCCACACTGTAACTCCTCCCCACTTGATTATCTGGCACCAAAAACATTTAGTTTTACTTCTTTCTCTGTTCAGTTCCAGTCAAGAGAAACAATCTCAAAAGAAACCTACAAACTTCAATCCCTCAGAGGCGTGGACATCTGTGTTCGGCTTTTTAATGGAACAGAAACAAACGCAATGAAGCTGCACTCCCACCCTTTACAGGTACAGGTCATAAAATGAGAATATGATGAAAAAGTTGATTTATTTCAGTAATTCAATTCAAAAAGTGAAACTTGTATATTATATTCATTCATTACACCGACTGATATATTTTAAATGTTTATTTATTTTAATGTTGATTATAACCAAAAACTATTGAAAACCCCAAATTCAATCTCTCAGAAAATTAGAATATTGTGAACAGGTTCAATATTGAAGACACTTGGTGTCACACTCTGATCAGATAATTAACTCCAAACACCTGCAAAGACCTTTAAATGGTCTCAGTCTAGTTCTGTAGCTACACAATCATGGGGGAGACTGCTGACTGGACAATTGTCCAAAAGACGACCATTGACACCTTGTACAAGGAGGGCAAGACACATGAGGTCATTGCTAAAGAGGCTGGCTGTTCATAGAGCTCTGTGTCCAGGCACATTAATAGAGAGGTGAAGGGAAGGAAATGATGTGATAACTGCACCCTGGAGAGGATGGTGAAACGAAAACCCGTTCCAAATGTGGGGGAGATTCACAAAGAGCTGACTGCAGCTGGAGTCAGTGCTTCAAGAACCACCACGCACAGAAGTATGCAAGACATGGGTTTCAGCCGTCGCATTCTTTGTGTCAATCCACTCTTGAACAAGAGACTGCGTCAGAAGTGTCTCACCTGGGACTGATGCTGAGAGGTCCAAACTGATGTTCTCTGATGAAAGTACATTTTACATTTCCTTTGGAAATCCAGGTCCCAGAGTCTGGAGGAAGAGGAGAGACACAGAATCCACGTTGCTTCAGGTCCAGGGTCAAGTTTCCACAGTCAGTGATGGTTTGGGTCCATGTCATCTGCTGGTGTTGGTCCACTGTGTTTCTGAGGTCAAAGGTCAATGCAGCCATCTACCAGGAAGTTTTAGAGACTTCCTGCTGCTGACCAACTTTATGGAGATGCAGATTTCATTTTCCAACAGGACTTGGCCCCTGCACACAGCGCCAAAGATACCAGTACCTGGTTTAAGGACCATGGTATCCCAGTTCTTAACTGGCCAGCAAACTCACGTGGTATTGAGAAGAGGAAGATGTGATGCACCAGAGGCAACACTTCAGAAGAGCTGAAGGCCACGATCAGAACAACCTGGACTCTCAGAACCTGAGCAGAGACACGGACTGATCCAGTCCATGACACGATGCGCTGATGCAGAGATCCAGACAACAGGAGCAACAACTAAGTACTGATGCTGGACATGAACATACTTTTAGAACATTTATAAAAATACTGTTTTTATTGGATCTAAGTAATATTATAATTTTCTGAGATACTGAATTTGTGGTTTTCATTAGTTGTCAGTTATAATCATCAACATTAAAAGAAATCAACATTTGAAATATATCAGTCTGTAATGAATGAATATAATGTACAAGTTTCACTTTTTGAATGGAATTACTGAAATAAACTTCATCATATTCTCATTTTATGACCAGCACCTGTACATTATATATAAAAACAGCATGTTCTGCCATATTTTATGCATTTAACAGAGCAGAGATTTGTTCACTGATAGACGTTGGTTTCATAGTTTGTTTCTGCAGTTCTCTGCACTTTTTGTGCACGTCGCAGACGTTTGAGCTGAAGGCTCGTCTGGTTTTGTAGAGTAGAAGTTGGGTTCGACGTCAGATTAACGTCTGGAACGGTCTCTGCTTCCTGCAGGAGATGTTCGACATCATCCTGGACGAGAACCAGCTGGAGGACGCCTGCGAACATCTGGCCGAGTACCTGGAGGCCTACTGGAAGGCAACCCACACCTCGATGGCGACGCCCCTGAACCCTCTGATGGGTCGGAACCTGGGCACCACCGCGCTCACCCCGTACTCCACCAGCATCTCCGGTCTGCAGGTGCGGCCGGCAGGAAGCCAGGAATGACGAGTCGTTGCGACCGAAAGCCTCTGTCGTTCACGTGCGCTGCTTTCTGTTTGGTCCGCAGAGCCAAAAGACACGGCAGAGCAACCACACCGGAGACCACTCCATCCCGAACGAGCGGCGCAACCTGATGACGTCGGACGAGAACTACCACAACGAGCGGGCGCACAAGGGCCGCAACCGCGTGTCGTCCGGCTCGCAGCACAGCCGGGAGCAGCAGGACCCCTACCAGGACTACCAGGACCCATATCAGGACGCCTACAAGCCGCATCGCAACCGCAGCTCGCCGGGCAGCTACAGCCACGACTCCCGGCACCGGCTCTGAGTCTACCGAGCCGACACCAAGACCCTGACGACCCGGGTGTCTCAAAACAAAGCCCACAACCGAGCCGAGACCAAAACGTCCCTCTTTTCTTTCCCTGATCTGCTCCAGCAGTCCGGTTTTCATTTTGAACTGAGCAGCATGAGGAGTTGTAATTACCACGAAACACCTTTAATTTGTCAGTGGGCTCAATCCGATTACAGGTGACTGATTGGGGGCGGGGCCAAAGGGACGCCGCCCACAGACTTCTGCACCCGGGCCGTGTACAGAACCTTGTTTTAGCTTTTCGCATGCCGATAGTGGATCAAACTGCATCACCGAGAGATTTTTACCTGATGACGTTTAGACACGGAGATTTTATTTATTTATTTTAAAACACCTGCTTGTGGATCGGCAGTCCGGTCGGTGTACAGATAGCTTCACCCCCCCACCCTGAACTGCTGTTTGCAAGGCCAGCTTCTCTGTAGCACAGCTTCGATGGTGCTGGGATCAGGACCAGAAGAAAAAAAGATCAGCCGTTTTAGTTCTGCCGATGTGATGGTTCTTCGTTCAGCTTTGAATTAAAACAGTTCCTCCCCATCACAAGTTCCTTCAGCTGGAAGTAAAACGTCAGGAGCACGAGCCGAAAACACAGACAATACCGTCCCGAGCCGTAGACGCAAACGCTGCACGAGCTAGGACGAGTCGAGTTGGTCTTAAGATGATTCCCGGTAAAGTGATGCGTCCAGCAGAAAGTACCGTACGGGTCCGGTAAACCCAGCTTCCATCAGGAGCAATACGAGAAGATTTTTACTTGTAGTGGCCGAGCTCATGTGCAGCATCAATCTTTAAACGTGTCATCCATGTGATAAAGCCTCATATTAATTTACAAGCTGGTAATAATTTAAAGTTTTCACGAGAAAATGTTCAACGTTCACTCGGTCACACCGTGCAGCCAACATGTTCTAAATAACCTTTATTTTTAACGGTGTACCAACCCTGAACTCAGAAACGTCGCTGAGCTTAAACAGCGTGAACTCTTGAAAAACAGAACCATTAAATAGTTGCAATGTGGAGATTCAGCCGACAGGAAGTAGTGAGCAGTTCCTTAAACTCATTTTAACGACTAAAGTCAGCCGAGCCGCCCAAACACATTTATAACCTTTAACATTTTCACGTCTGGCGTCACTTCGCAACAGAACGGAGCGAGACCGCAAACGCTAAAATCTGTCCCCGCGGCGTCCGGAGCATTTATCGTGCAGACGTGGAGCTTCGAGGACGGCAGCTACCGGCGCAGAACCAGCAACTGCCTCTAGGTGGCAGCAAAACGAAGCGTCCAGTGTTTCCCCAGGTTACGCATCTTACAGGGCACTCTCTTACGTGGTTTTTTAATGAAGGCTGGGGGGTGAAGGGAATGGCTCAGCGTGAGGGAGACGGAGCGCTACGGATATACATCTGTGGAGCGCTACCTCTGTAGCTTTTTAGCTAGCGTGTCTGTATTGCGCACTGCTAGATAAGCACTATGTGCGTTGCGGCAGTTGTCCGGGGCGCTCGGTTCTGTGGACAGGGCGGGGCGCCCTCCTCGTAGAACGGTAGGAGAAACACAGGTGTCAATCCAAGATGTAAAACTCGATCCGAGCCTTTCTGTGGTTTTATTTCAAAGCGCTGCGGTCCTTTTCGGGACACGACGAGGTCCAGGACCGTGGTCTGGATGCTCCTGTTGGCTGTTTTTTCCCACGCTCTTAAATTAGCATAAACACCGTTGTAAACCGGACACGTTCGAACGTTCCCAACACTGTCCTGCTCATTCGTGACCTCCGGTTGGACGACCTGAAGCTCAGCCCGACGTCACGTTTGAATTTGGGTCACCGAGTTTAGATCTGGGTAAAAAAAAGATTTTTGACGCGCGATCACAGATGTTCCTTATTTTTGTTTCACAGGTTGGCGACGGTTTTACGAGCAGAAACGTCACTGCCCTCTTGGCTGAATTATTTCATGAAAGTCGAGTAACGATGAGCCGGGCTCCTGGAGACAATCAGAAGGGATTTCCAGACCACCACCCTCAAACAAAACCTGCATATTTTAACCCTTTGCCTTTTTTTGTAGCTCAACTCTTGTCATGGCTAATTTTCTGGGTTTAAAACTATTAAAAACATTTGGCGGTTATTTTTCTAACGTAAATAAATGTACATACGAGCGAGGTTCAGTAAAAAAAACGTTTGGGTCGCGTGCGGTAAAACAAAAAAACCGGCATGCTGGTTGAACAAGAGGATTTCGTGTACCGTTCTATGCAACCACAAACTGTGCACATGGCTTCATGCTCCAAGCAGCTTCATCTGGACCTTAAGGGATTCGTTTGTTTGTTTTTGTTTGTTTTCTGTGGAAAACGACAGCGGCTGATGAGGTACTGCATGCCTAATGTTCTAATTTATAAACAGAATTTAAAGAGACAACGTGTGACGTCTGAGTGTGTCGGCACTAAAAACGCTTGCTTTTCAAAATAAAAGCCGTCCTTCTGGACCTGGGTTCAGTTTTCTTCTGCTTTGATGCTTCTCCAGTCGGGGCACATTTTTCTACACAACACCTGAACGAAGAGGGAGGAAAAGAAACTTTAAATAATAAAACTTGGGAGGAGAACCACGTGTTCTCCATGTTTTCAGTTTAAACCTTCAACTCTAACGATCTCTGGTTCTGGACCTGGTTCTGGACGATGTGGATCAGATTGTCCACGGGACTGACTTTGATCTGAATCAAGCTTTTGGAGAAATCTCCTTCAGGACGACCAGGAGCCTCCAGAAACCAGCAGAACCACAGCAGGTCTTCGTTGTCTGAACTCCACGGGTTTCTAGAGTCACTGGTGCCGGATTGCAGGAACCTAAATGGGTTCTGAGTCGCCTTCTCACAGGACCACACGAGTCTTCAGATTGAGTAAAATCAAGTTTATTCCATAAATATGAAAAGCTGGTTGTGCGTGGAACAAACCATCTGAGGTGAACAAGTAACGTTGGTTTTATCGCCATGTAGTCCTTTTAGAAACCCGGTCCAACAAGTTGAACAGAGCAGCTGAAGTTCTGACGCATAAAAATCTGGTGCTGAAGGTTGAAAAAGAATCTCCATCGTCTCTGCCTCCACTCGTCCATGGATGTGACCACGATCAGTCTACAGATCGGTAGACCACCTGCAGAGACTCATCGGTCTATCAAAGAGCGCCGAAGTCCTCCATGGTTCTGGTCCTGGAGAAAACTGATCCGATCAGGAGGAAAAGAACAAAGATGGAAAAAAAAAAATCACGATTTATATTTTAAACGCGACATACGGCCATAAACTTAAAGTTTCAAGGTCAAAGTCAGAAATCCAGGTTAAATATTATACAAGGTCTTTGCCTGTCGGGCTAACTGCTACAGATGTCCCGTTGAAGACTGGTGGGACTGACACACACCTGCCGATGTTAGTTTGATTCTGGTGGTTTGATCTGAAGGTGGGCGGGGCCATGAAGGTGGGCGGGGCCATGTGTGGCAATTCAGCCAAAGCTCTGCGTAACAGGTGGACACGCAAAGTGCTGAAGATGCTGCACGCACAAGGCGCATGACGCTTATCTGTGACAAGCCGATACTGGTCCCTCACACAAAGTCGTAAGTGACCTAGCTAGCTAGCTGTTCAGCTAGCTGCTGCTGCGTCGACCACGTCTTGTCACGTGCACACGTACTCAGCCAACAGTGCGTCTAACGAACTCTTTGAGACACGCCCACAACAGATAGGACCAAACGTGAATTGTTAGTGGACTTAAAGTTAGCTTTAACTAATTTAGTGGAAGCTAATTCCGCTAACTGTTTCCAAAGTTAACATGAACGCTAATTTGCTAAAGGAAAAGTTAGCCTCGCTGTTAGCCGTTAGCAGACCCGTGCCCACCACTGAAGGTGGATGCATGAGCCTCAGAACTGCCTGAATAAGCACAAAGTTCAAATGAAAAGACGTCGTACCTGGTTCTCCTGCTTGGGTCAGTCCTCCTTCAGGTTGTCGAGGAGCTCCTGGGTCTCCTGGGCCAGCTTCCTCCTCTCAGCCTGCCGCTGTTTCTTCAGAGCCTCCTCTGCTTTTTTACTCTGGTACATCTTCACCCCTGCAAAGGCCAGACACAGCAGCAGCGTCTTCAGGGCCAGGATGTAAAACAGGAGGGGGACATTGTCCAAAGCCTGTGGACAGATTGGACAGATTAAATCACTCCTGAATGGCGTCCTTTGGCTGGTTTCAGCTGATCCTTTACAACAAAAACCTGTTTTTTTTAATTGACCATGTTATTTCAAGGACGGTCCCTGCTGCTTTTAAACCATAGTTAGACCCCTTCTTAAAAAAACTCATCACTGACACGGTACGGAGTCCGTCTTGTTAAAGTCCATAATGACATCATCGTGTCCATGAACGTAAAGTGTCCTGTTGCTGCTTTGGATACAGTGGACCTGTTGTCCTCCTGTCTCGTCTAAACCAGTACGTTGGTAGATCTGGTTCAGCACTCGAGTGGTCCACCTCTGACCTGACCAATAAAACCTTTTCTAACATGACTGGAGATTTCTCTTGAATATTTCTCTTGTGGTGTGCCGCAGGGCTGTATTCTCGGTCCTCTCCTTTTCTCTCTGTAGATGCTGCCACTTTGATCAATTGATACCACTTTTCAGTTATGCAGACAATTTACAGATTTATTTACCCACGATGCTTAGAGGTAGTAACTTGAATAAACAGACATAAAACTTGGGTGACTTGACAAGGCTTTTGAAGTTTGATAAACAAGTAGCCTCTTTAGTTTTTTTAAACGAGGACTTTTTGCTCCCAAATGTGAACACATCTTCAGTTTTCTTTTCTCTTTATTATTTTCAGTCTGTTTTAGAATTGATTTTAAGCTCTTATTGTTCACTTTTAAAGCTCTAAATGGTCTTGACTGACTAGTCTGCCTTCAGACCAAAGCCTCCCTTGCAAGCGAGATCTGTGATCTCAATGGGATTTGCCTGGTTAAATAAAGGTTAAAAAATAAAACTAACTAACTAAATATATATATCTCAGCACTGACCTGAGCCTTTTTAAAGCTAATCTTAAACCTTTTTATTCTGGCAGGCTTTTAATATCTGGTGACGCTCTGGAATGTTTGTATTGTTCCTAATGTCCGTTTTACCTTCTGTACCTTGAAGCACTTTGATCACCTAGTTGGACATTTGATTTTATAAGTGAATGTTTATTGGTTGATTGAATGGAAAGCTGTGGAAAGCTGTGGAACCATCAGCCCAAACACCAGCTGTCCACTGGAGAGTTAATTTGGTCACACAGAGGGGCGGGGCTTAAAGAGGGACAGCTGGACACCACGCGTACCAAACCTCATTAACAAAACTGCAATTTTTAAAAACACGGGCATTTTGATTTAAAGAGAAACTCAAAAAGAGAGTATTCCACTCATCATGAAGTACTTTTAAATTCGGCATGCTTATAATTTGATATGTTGATGAAAAATTAAACTTTTACTGCTGTTTTGGATGTTGTTTTCAACGGATTTGGTATAAATTTCAGCTTGTTTCATAACTAGATTCACACGTCAAGTCTCCAACGAAATAAAATAAAGTCATAACCAAACCATACTCACTATTTAATCTTAAAACAGTAAAGTTACTTACATTAAACTGAGACAGAAGTATGGAGCGGTTAGCATGATGTGATAAATCAGCCACAAACAAACTCAAGAAAATAAGAATTGTTTGGTATTAACAAAGCATGAGATACATCGCTAAAAATAACAACTTTTATTTAAATTACCTTCCAGTTGATCATTGTCATTGCTGATAACGCTGCTAGCTGCTTCTCCTAAATGCTATAAATGCTCATCGTAGGAAGGCGGGGCTTAAACGAAAAGGCCAATAAAAATGTAGTATCTTGTACACGTCACGCGTGATGCGTTTACTAAATTATAAAAAGTAAACCGCGTTAGTTTTTAAAAAGTCCCAGCTTGATGCTGCCAATAAACCTTTATAGAAATAAATAATTATGATATAGAAGTGATAAATAACTTCAAATATAACTGACTATTCAAAGTTTTTTAAATTTTAATGCGCTATCCAAATATCGTCTTGCGTCTTCTTCAAACTGTCCTTGAACGCACCGCAGCCTCTAAGCAGGGGTCTCTGCTGGATCATGTTATAGACATGTGTGTAAAAATGGCAAACCTGGAAGGTTCTAGCAAGCGAGTAATAATAGATTCATGTTTTCAGCATAACTGCGGTGGCATCACAACAAGTTGAAAATGCAGAGGTAAGGTGCTGCAACAATTGTTCCGTTCGGTAAAATGTCAGATTCACGACTCCTCTGCTCTGACACCCGACTTTTGTCACGTGTCAGTAAATAATAAATAAAAGCAATAAATAAAACGTTAACAGCGATTGTTACTGAATGGTAAAATTAATGGTATCGCTTCTATCTGCAGTCGAAGGAATTTGATCGGTGTTGCTGGTTGACATATATATTACGTCATAGTGACGCGTCGAGGCATGCGTAGTCACGGTGGCCGAGAGGTTAAGGCGTTGGACTCGAAATCCAATGGGGTTTCCCCGCACAGGTTCGAATCCTGTTCGTGACGACCCTTTTTAAATTATTTATTTTTTTACTGCTGTTCTGCGGACATAATACACAGTTTACGCCTTTATGTACAAATTAATAATAAAAAAAAATATATATATATTTTATTACAGTTGGCATGATCACAAGTTTCTTATCTCAGTAGATATATATATATATATATATATATATATATATATATATATATATATACATACTGTATGTGGAAATAAATGCACAACCATTGAGATTTGACAGTTTCCTAATATTAATTTCATGAGACTGTCAAACATTTAATGATTCAAACTGAGCTCTATATTCAAGTTTAATCTTGTAAACGAGGTGGTTTGAGCCAAGAAGCTCGTTACTGAGGGATTAGAGAATATTTAAATTATTAGGTGCTGCTGTAGGAGTTAAGATGAAGCCATGACCAACCTGGGACCTGCTAAATATGGTTAAGAGTAGTTTGTTTACAGGAAACCTCTTAATAAAAACATTTATTTTACTACTTTCAGTCTGGATTTGGTTCTGGACACAGTACTGAGTCAGCCTTGTTAAAGTCCATAATGACATCATCATGTCCTCCCGTCTCGTCTAAACCTTTACGTTGGTAAATCTGGTTCAGGACTCGAGTGGTTCACCTCCGAACTGAACAACAGAACTTTTTCTGCCACGATTGGTGATTTGTCTTCCTTTAGTGTTCTCTCTTGTGGCGTGCCACAGGGCTGTATTCTCGGTCCTCTCATTTTCTCTCTGTAGATGCTGCCACTTTGATCAGTCAACACCACTTTTTTGTTAAAAACATGATTCACCCGACACAAAGAATTACACATTTATTTTATTGATGCAACTTGAAGGCATGAATGGAGCTGAATAGAAACTGAACGGCAAACACTTAAAAAACATAAAACAAATAGTTGAATGAATAGCTGTTATGTGATCAATATCTTTATTTATAACCCAAACACTGAAGACGTCGGGGCATGCAAAACGTAGAAGTTGTTTTTTTGCAGCCTGGTGAACCTCTGCCCATCTTTACTTCTAAGAGATCCAGCCTCTCTGAAATGTTTTTTTGCTTATATACACATTTCCTAAAAATGTTACCATTTAGTTTAAGCTCGTTGGCTAAGCTCCATTATGAGACTTAAAAATGTTAAATATTTTACAAAACATTCGGCTTGGTCAGCGTCGGAACATCTTGAACTGGGAGTGGAATGAAAGTGAAGTGAACTTTGGTTCTCGTTATTAGTTCAGGTCATGCAGGATTCTGCAGCTACAGTAAAAAAAATAACAACTAAATGCTGCCGGCTCATCCGGTTCTGTTCACAGTGACATCATTTCTTTGGCTACACAAACAACCGGGACTGCGTCCACCTTCTATGATCATGTCTTCGGTTCTGACCCACCGACCCGTCCAGTTACTGTCATCACCTCCGATAAGTCCCGCCCCTCCAATAAACAAACAGCAACAAACCCTGACAGCTGGATCATCTGTAACATCTGTAATATTTCGGCTGACAAATAAAAGTTTGATCGTCCGACGTTTTGTGCCGTTTCAAACCGTCCAAACATCCGAGCCGCCGCTTTTATAACTTATTATTTTCAGTGTTTCTTTTTGTCCCGTCCGGAATAAATCATTTTAATCCCGACGTCCGCCTCGCCGCCTGAGGGCCGTGCGTCTTTCTCGTGGTTTCCTGTCAACCTGGTTGCCGTGACGATGGCCATCGTCCTTCCCAGGAAACGGCTAGCAGCGCAGGAGAACACTTCCTGGAGCTCAGCCCCGCCCCACAGACGGAGATCCGCTCGTATCGGGACCTTCGGTGTCCTCAGTAGCGCCCCCTGTGGTTGGTTCTGGACATGGTGAGCGGCAGGGACACGGAGGACAGGGAGGACACCTCCCAGTAGAGGGAGCGAGACAGGAAGAGCTGGTAGAGGACCACCATGGAGATGGACTGGCACAGGATCACGCCGATGGTCACCACCTGCGGAGACGAAAACGTCAAACGTCCGCGGGTTGGAGGAGAATTTCAGACAAAACGTTTTTATTTTAGGGGCCGAACCTTTTCTCTCTGGTGGTCGTTGAAGACGCCGGACGTGAGGACGAGGACTGGGTGACAGAGGAACCACAGGAAGCAGCCCTGCAGAGACAGCGTCAGGTGTGTGTGTGTGTCAGGTGTGTGTGTGTGTGTCAGGTGT